TGATTGCAGAGAAAGCACAGTGTAATGACAAAAATAATTTTCCAACTGCATTCAAAAAACAGTATTTGAATAGTTCAGCAACAGCAATTTACTTGGCATGTTAAATGAAACTAAATGAAGGTGCCAGTAACTGCAGAGGGGCATTACCTTATCACCATCCTAAGCCTGTGAATCTGGTGCCTTAAATACGCCCCTAGATAGGAGACCAGCAGAACCAGAGGAAAGGCGAGACAGAAGGTGGTGGATAAAAAGGTCCAGATCTCAATAGATTCAACCTTTCAAAATGAGTTGTGCACTTAGTAAAATGGAGTCACCTTTACAATCAAAATAAAATGGAAAGTTAAAGATGCAAACTGACCATGCGGTTTCCCTTTTTTCTACATCTATCACATGCATTGCAGGTGACTTTGTACTAACTTTAGTACATTTACGTCACTGCTTAAATCATCCACCCTATTTGTTGTGAAAAGGCCAGACAGCAATGTACTACTATGACAGTTGCCTGTCTAAATCGAAATGCCCTACTTTGATAACTCAGTGATTTTCGTAGGCACTAGATGAGTTGCCATTTGTTAGTGGATAAAGGATTTATCGCATACACAAAATGCAGCATACATAGAAAACGAAGCCGTTGAAGTCAATTGTTTGTGTGGCGGGTCCGAGTATTTGCCAGAGACCGAGAAATACGACAATATTGAATATGCTGATGCCCCAGGTCAGGCGACGCAGTGACTGCAGAGCTCTGCGCACCTCTGACAAGGCGGGCTTCTTCTCGCTTAGACGTGGGGAAAAGCGTAGATCTGTTTGCCTGGCCATCGGACCAATGTTGCCAGTCGGATACGAGTATTGGATGATGGAAACGTTAAGAAAAGTCATCATCGTTTTGTTAACTCCTTTCCGTTGAATAGTACTGTGCTATGCAAATGCTTGAGGTCGTCGTAGAAAATCTGCACTCTTGCAGATGCCATGAAGTAATGGAGGACGCGATCGCCAAGTGGATGAGTTATTTAACCTACCTAGTGTAGACCTCAGGCCATGGGACGAGGGGATTGTCGATCTCCTGTACACAGCTCCAAATGCTACGGGCCACCTTGGGTGATAGGGGTTTGGTGAGCAAAAGTGTGAGTAGTGCAGGTAGCAGGAAGCCACCCAATAGTGCTACTGTCATTCCTATCAGCCAAATCAGCTTGGTCTCTGGTTGTTGTTGTTATTGAGGTCGGAGACATAAAATGAAAGGAACGAAACAAAAATTCCCGCATAAATTGTGCAGCACTTATACCTTGGTAAGTGTCCCTCCTATTTTCCAACCACTGGGATAATGCAACCTTTGGACCGTGTGTTCTACATAGAGGCATTGAAAAGCCCTTCCTGAGCGCCTAGGCCAATTTCGCCCTATGCCCAAAATGAGCCCAAATTAAACGGAGTTAGCTCTACATCATACGCAAGTCCACAGCCAGTGGTCCGCTTGAAAAGGCCTTGTGCTAACTACCATACATCATTGACTTTGTTCTTATTATAATGCTAAATAACTGATTAACTGTATCTAGGCTTCCACCACCAACAGTGATATTTCCTATTTTCGACATTCCTATGAAATATTTCGACGGAGCTCCAACTGACTGTGGCTCACGTATATGTGCGTCACTGGACTGCCATCCAAGTTTACACTCCTAGAATAAATGACGTTTGCTTTCCAACTGAATTTTTTGGTTGTTTTGTACTCTTGCTGTATACTTAGTAACTGCACAATTATGAACCCACCTTTTTATTTTGTCACGGGAGATTTTGCGCACTGTTTTTGCATGAAGCATGAATATTATAGGAAATTGTCTCCAACCAACAGAAGCGACTCATTGCAGAGTAG